CCGTTTTAGCTTAAAAGGAAATGTGGCGGATCACGAGTAAATATGTGACCAATAATAAAAGAACAATTTGTTTATCCCATACTTTTAAAGAAACGATCTTCATCATGCCGATGAAAAAAGATTGGAATGGGTTAATTAATTGGGACTTCTAATAATATCAAAATAATAAATCAATCAACTTAAATTTACTCAAATTCGATTTTATCGAATTCAAAATTAAAATGAAAATAAAGCTCATCATTTAGTTATATCTTGAGCCATTTCATAAATTACAGAATTTATATAACCTTTTTATTAAATACCAAATTTTAGTAGTTAAATTAAAAGTTAGCGATAATTAACATATTAGAACAAATAGAAAATGTATGAAATTAAAAATACAAATTCAGTAAATTGCTATTAAATATACAGATAATTTAATTAAGAACATTCTTCAATTTATCTATTAAATAAAAATGATTCGTCTAATAATAAATAATAAATAAAAAAGGGTTAATGACAATGATAAAAATTTAATTATAAAGCTTAAACCTAGATAACTTACTTTGCCAAAGTAACTTAGTTTGATGAATTATTTTACTTTTATACATTGCTTCAGAAAATGATCGTGTATTAATATTTTTACTATGTCTTAATATCTTTTCTGAATTCAATAATTCTAATAAAATCTCTTTATCATTCTGCCATTCTGCAAAAACTTCATTAATTTTTTCGGCTGTTGGGCGTTTTTTGGGATCTTTTTTCCAACATTTTCTCATTAGATCTACATAACATCGTGGTGCACCATCAATAATCATTGGCCGTAAATCATTATTACATATTTCTATTTGAAGCAATGAACCAAAATCTTGATTATAATATACGGGTTTGCCATGTAAAATTTCCCACATAATTATTCCAAAAGAGTAAATATCTGATGCTGTAGTGTGTGGATATCCGTCTAAAATTTCCGGTGCCATATACGGCAGAATTCCGCAAACCTTATCAGATTCTGTCTTTAATGTTATATTAGATGGAATTGAAAGTCCTAAATCAACAATATATGCGTCATATAAATTATTTTGCAAAATATTGCCACTATGTAAATTTTGGTGAATAAGTTTTTGCGAGTGAATTTTTAAAAGATCAGAAGCAATGCAATTCAATAGTGTCAACTTTTCACTCCAGTCCATCTGTACTACTGTGCTAAGATTTTTGCGTAAGGAACCCATTGGAGCATATTTTAAAATAAGGATGAAATCTTCTGAATAACCATCTTTTGAGATTCCATAAATATTTTCGTAATTGATATCGCAATATATCTTTAGCTTTAATGAAAATTGATAAAATTTAAAAGAGAATAAAAATGAGATAAAGGAAAGAAGATACATATAATCCATATATATACCTCTTTTAAGAACTCTTTCCGACAAGATTTTGATCCGTGAAATAATTTAAGAGCAACTTTTTTCCATATTTCATGTTGTCGATCTAACCATGTAGCATAATATACCGTTGTAGACCCGCCTTGTCCTATCCTTCTAACATTTTCAAATTTCTCACAAAGAACCCATAATAATTGATACTCATTTCCATTTAATATAGTCTTTATATCATCATCAATTTCGGAGTCTTATAAGCAATGATTCATTTGAAGTGTTATATAATAATAGTCAAATATTATATAAATTACGGTATATAAAAAAATAAATTATTACCTGATGATATGTTTATCTCACTATTTATTATTTGAATGGTTTATTAGTAATTGTATAAAGTTTTATTTTAAAAATTATTATATATATTATTTAAAGTTTTTGACGCGTACCCGTTATCAATCATATTTATGGATTTTTCAACGCCAATTCCACTTTGATGATTATCCATTTCAGAAAATCTTTGATAATAAGCAACCGCTTTATTTTTATCCACTTCAACACCAATTCCATTTTGATAGCAAACACTAAGATTATATGTTGCACCAGCATGCCCTATCCCTGCAGCCTTTTGATAATAATAGAATGCTTTGCTTTTATCTTCATTAATTCCAATTCCACAATCATAACAAACGCCAAGATTATATATTCCTTTAGTGTGATTCATTGTAGCAGATTTTTGATAATAAATAAATGCCTGATGTTCATCCTTTTCAACACCAATTCCGTAAAGATAGCAATTACCAACTTGAAAAGCACCATCAGGATCACCCATATTAGCAGATTTTAAATAATAAAGGAATGCTTTATGTGTGTCTTTTTTGACACCAATCCCATCATCATAACAAAGACCAAGATTATACGTTCCTTTAGCGTGCTTCTTTTTTGCAGCTTTTCGATAATAAATAAACGCATTGTATTCATTTTTTTCAACACCGATTCCATGAAGATAGCAATTACCCACTTGAAAAATTCCAAAAGAATCACCCATCTCTGCAGTTTTTTTGTAATAGTTAAATGCTTTATATTCATCTTTTTCAGTTCCAATTCCATTATGATAGCAACTCGCGAGATTATATATTCCATCAATACTTCCCATATTAGCAGATTTTTGATAATAATAGAATGCTTTATTCACATCTTTTTTAACACCAATTCCATTCAAATAATAATTACCAATATTACATATCCCACCGGCATGCCCCATATCAGCAGCTTTTTGATAATTAATGAATGCTTTATATCCATCTTTTTCGGTCCCAATTCCTTCATCATAACAAACACCAAGATTATAAGTTCCTTTAATATGATTCATTTCTGCAGATTTTTGATAATAAAGAAATGCATTATGATGATTCTTTTCAACACCAATTCCATTAGAGTAACAATAAGCAACTTGAAAAGTTCCGTTAGGATAACCCAGATTAGAAGACTTTAAATAATATTTAAACGCTTTGCTTTCATCTTTTTCAACACCGATTCCATCGTGATAACAAATACCAAGATTATATGTTCCATCTGCATGTCCCATATCATCCAAAGTTTTGTAAAAGAAAAAAATATTTACATAATTGTTTTGTAATTTATCTTCGTTTGTCATTTTCGAAAAATAAATTTGGACTTGAAATTTTTGGTTACCTGATAATAAATAAATAAATTTTTCCAGTTATCTTGTGATACAGAACACTATAAAATTTTGTATACATTAATAATTATTTTACACATGCTATCATTATTCTTATTTTTGGCGTACACATGCACATACATATATAAAAGTAAGGTAGCACTGTTTAATGGTGATACAAATTAGTACAACTATCATGGGAAAATAGTAAAGAGTACGTAGTCGTAATGAGAATCTTTTTATTTTCTTTATTTCTAAGACTTTTTTTTTTTTTTTTACTTCTAAAAAGGTTTAAAACAAGCTTTCATGGTTAATGATGCTAAAACTGCTTGACATTTGAAACATTAAAGCGCTGACTTTTACAAGGTTGCTATATGGTTTTCTGAAAGCAATTTTCTCGAAAAGATATAATATCAATTAAATCAGCTAGTTTTAAAACTGATAGTCACAGTAACTTTATCTAGATTGCGTTCTTTCAAGAAAACAACTTTCGCTCAGAAACTTACATTTATCAATTTAAATGTAAACTACTCTTTAAATTACTTTGTTCCGCAAATTTGTGCTATGAGTGTCGCCAAGAGAATTTTGATCTGAATTTCTAAATATCGTGCAACCAACTTTAACACAGATGGACAGTTGCTTTGTTGGCAAAACTTGGACAAATCCCAAACCTCAAACAAAACAATTGCTATTTATAAAAAAATTAAATAAAAAAATGGTTTTAATACATATTGTATAAGTATCATTAATAAAGTTTTGATATACCGATTATTTTGGCCAAAATTTGGAATTTGAGCGCGTACAAATCAAAATCATAATTGTTTTGGATTTGAAAGGCTAGTATATAGGTATAATTAGTAACGTGCCGCGTACAGTACTGTATCCCTTTTACCAGATGATCAGATACCGGAAAAGAACTATACGTACAGTACATACTGTACGCTAAAATTTTTCAGTTATCATATAAATGGCACATTACTAGGTATAATGTACATACATTGTAGAAGTGGAATCTGATTCGTAATACAAAATACACTACAAAATTATTCTATTGACTAAACAACTCTAAATAAACCCAATATCGGTAAGGCTTTGATTGGGGCGTGGAAAGACTTTGCCCCGAGTAACTAAAGAAAATAGGTGGTTTATCGATTTTAAATCTGTTTTTTAAACTACGTCGTTAATTAGAATTTAAATTATAATAAATAATTCGTTTAAAGAATCATTTTTATCAATTTTACAATTTTTAAAAGGATTTTGTCATAGAATTGGAATAAGGGTCTGCACCAATATCTTGAGATAAAAAGATATAATATGAACAACCTACCAGCCAAGCAATTAAAAAAATCTGCAATGCACACATAATAGCTATGTGGTCATCTCAAAACTAAATGAACAATATTATTCCTCTATCTTCACAAATTAACTGGGAAACAACCTGACTATATCTAAATAACAATACTAACAGAACTAGTTCATAAACAAACTTCATACTTAACAATAGCAAATCCTTTAAAATCAAATTACAACTTAATATTTAGGGTCAATTAAAGCTCTAGACTAAGTCACAAGTCTCTGTATGAAGTCATAGGATTTAGTCACTAATCCCTAATATTAATACAGATTTTACTTATCGGGGGATTCGTGGATCTGAATGTTGAACTCTGTGTTGAGCAGAAAGCTGAAAACTGTCTTTATTCAGAGCGAAATAGTTTCACTTATATATCTTTTTCTTACATATGAAATAAATTTGCAAATATAATAACTTCGATACATTTATTATTTCTATTTACATTTTCTATACAATTTATTCAATACGATTTATGAAATTTAAGAATTTTATGTGTCCGCAGTAATTTATGGGGTAAATTCATATTGTAGCCCGTAATGCAATTTTAGAATATCATATGGTAGTATGTTTTGAATTTCACTCTGTATACTATAATCCAAATAAGCGTTTTAGTATATTCATAGTTAAATTTGGTAATTAAATTCTTTTTTGTTATTTGAACAATGAAGAAATTTATAATATCTTTGCATCAAACGCATCTAAATCAAGATTTTGGATTCTTTTATTAAAAAAGGAAATTAATTACCTAATAAGGTCTTATATTTCGCGAAAAAACTACAAATGGGTCTAAAAATGACAAGAATAAAAGTAACTTCTAAACGCTAAAGGAATTAATTTAATTCTTTTCTGACGACATTTCATCTTAATTTTATATCCAAGTCCAAGTGCATACAGCTTTCAAGCATGGCTCAAGCAGAAAGTATATCTATAGTGAATATCGAGGATGAAAATGAAATACCACCTGAACAACTTATTCATTTTATTGACCTGGTTAATACTCCTAAACCGACTTTGGGCCCCTTTATACGTCGGATTCCTCTAATTTCTCAATCTTTGAATTATTTAATTTACTTTAAACGTGTTATAGTTTATTTAGGTTTAACATTATTATTTAATATTACTTTACCTATCACAAATCCATTAGAATTCATTATCACTTTTGTAGTCATGCCAGTATTTACGGTCTTTGTATTTTTCTTTGAGGCTTTCCTCAAACTCATGATCTTTATTCATTCATTAAATCCTCCCAACAAAGATCCAACAGTAATTGAATTGTGGTCGTCTTTCACTGATCATAATATAAGTAAGTTATGTAAAATAATATTTAGCAATAAAATTCATAAATTTAAAGCCCAGTTTTAAATACAGTAATCAATTAACTATATTCTGTTTTTCTTTGATATAAAAAAGAGGACAATTTACTTGCTGGAATTGCTTCTTTGGACGATCCAGATGCTCTTTCAGATTACAACAAATCTTCCAGTCTTAATCTAAACAGGGTAGAAGCGTTGTTGTACACAACTGTTTTAACTCAAGAACGTGTTTCAACTCTTGTTGAAGATGAACAAAGGGATGTACTTAAGTTAAAGGAAAATCCCGAGAAAGTTAATAGTGATGATATTAAAAGAATTATTAATAAGCTTCGTGAAAGTGAGACACCAATTCGAGAGCAGGCAAAAGAATTTGATCTAGAATTTACTTCTATTACTGAATGTAACGTAATTGGAGGACCTTACGCTGGTATATTTTGGTCAGAGGTAAACTTTAGTTCATACCTTCCCTTTTATAAATATATTAAAAATTATTTCTTTTATTGCATTAATACATTATTGTTTTAAAATTATTAGAAGCAAAACTTTATTATAGTTTCTTTCAAGGGAACAGGTTCTCTAGACCTGGCAGAATGGTTAACTGATTTTAGTCTTCAAAGGATTGATGCAAGGTAAACTTGTATAAATTGCTGTTTACTACCCTCATTAATTTATTTATCTTTATGCCTTTTTTTAAGGCCATTCCTTTTCGGAGAAGTTCATTATGGGTACTATACAAATCTTTTCACAGATAATACGTATGCTTCGATAAAATCGATAAAACAATGTCCTGCTTTAAGATTAGCTGAAGCAATACGTAATAAAGCAGATGAAATTTACAAACGAACGGCTCAACCAGTTAAAGTTTGGTTTTCAGGTTATTCACTGGGCGGTGCTTTGACAAAATTATTTTATGCACGAGTATTACATTCACCAACTAGTTTAGGTGATCATGTTGATATTCGTGATGGGATTAGCTTTGCTACACCACTTGTTGGTGATATTGATTTTGCAGCAGAATTTCAGACACTTATGAACAAAGAAATTAATTTAAATAAGAATTTTTGGAGATTTGTTAATGACAGTGATATTGCTCCAAGATATCCTTTTGGTTTTCATTCCCTAAATTTAGGTCATTTTCTTTCGAAGATTAATCTATTTAATTATATTAATATTGGAGATGAAGTCCGAATTTATCAAGACGGTAGTAAACCGAAATCAGAACGTCATCTTTATGGTCCTGATACTGATTATTTGTTCGTTAAACAAGGACTTGGTCTTGCAGATTGGCAATCTTTTCTTGGTTTGGGTGATCAATTTGATGGTTCAAAATCAATCAAGAATCCTTTCGTTGTGAATTATAAAGTGACATCATTTATTGATTATATTGCACCAAGCTTTATTAGAAATCATTATTCATACAGATACTTTGAGAATCTAGAAAAAGCTAGGAAGTATTGGGAACCTGTTGCTTTAGGAAAGAAAAATGTTGATATTGATTTAAAAAAGAAAAATGAACAAGCAACAAATCAAATAGTATAAAATACGTTAAGCATATAATGATAACATAGCATTTTATTTAATAGTAAATATATCTAGCATCATGTTATGTATTTAAAAACTCAAATACTATTTTAATAATTTATTTTGTTAATGTCACTCATATTGCATTAAATTTGTGTATTGATTTCTTGCCTCTTTTTTTTTTCTAATGTTAATAAACCTGGCTTGAACCTGAAACTTCACTAACATTATTTCTTTTTATAATTGTCTGCAAGCGTGAAAAATATTAATCAAAATTAAATTTTCACATTGAACGAATTTAGGTTCAATTGAGCTTAAATAGGGTTCAAATACAGTACTAATGTTTTTGTAAATCATAGAATTTGACGATTATTTATATTGAAATTTTGGCCAAAAACGTGTCTTTTTATAAAAATGCTAAATTCGAAACGCGATTATTGATCAAAAAATTCCAATTATATTAATAAAAGTAATGATAAAAATTGTAATAATTCGTAGTTTAGATAAATATCATGTATCCATAGTGCCAGAGAATAGGAACGATCTTTCGAGACCAATTGGCCAATTAAAATCATGGGCTGAAATTTGTCTCAATTGGATATGTCGTGTAATCTACGAGTCGGCTAAGTCGATAAGAGGCGTGTTAGATTTGTCGAGTTGGGTATTTTATGATCGTAGATATTATAATGTAATGAAAGCAGGGAAATATTAGGAGCAAATTTTATGATAAGCGCGGGCTGTTGTTTTCGTAGGGCTCAAAGCCTTTATTATATATTGTTCTATTACATATGCACTCTTAAAGGTATTAAACTTATTCCCCGGTTCTTATTTATACTTCCATACTTTTCTTTCATAGTTATTGTCCGGATTCCAGATTCGGGCTGATCCGGAGTTTTTAATTTCTCTAGGCTATAACTACATATACCAATTATCAGAACCAGGTCGAATACTTTATTAAAATTATGTGCATTTAAAATTGTTCGGTTCTAGTCAATTATTTAAAAGTGTCAATTCGTTCTAGTCAATTATTTAAAAATGTCAATACTTTGAAGTAAAATTATTTAGAATTGTTCGAATTGGGCCAGTTCCTTTTTTTAAATTATAAACAGTTAAAATTCTATTGAACAGTACCAGACAATTACTATAGCAATAACTTCAATAAATTTCAATTTGCGGAAGAACTCAAATAAAAAACATCGAAGAGAGGTGTAAGCTAATACAATTGATTCGACTTTATAATGTTTTCCATCCTGTCGCTTAATATCAGCAAAAAATTCACATAGTTCATGTTCAAGTTGTTCTTTATTCGCTAATGTTTGGATTTCATATGGTATATTCTTTTTCTTACGATGGTCTTGTAAAATTCGAACCCATTTTTGTGTACAAGAATCAGTATTTTTGATTTTAGATTTTTTTTAAGTATCGTTGAATATTGTCTTCAGTTGTGTTAATACTTTCACGTTCTGACATATTTGATATAGTATTCTCTTCGACTAATTCATGAGCTGAAAGAAAACTTGACATAATGAAAGTTTTTTCGATTTAAGAACCTTTTTTTTTTTTTAGATCAAATTCTTTTTATATGAAGTTTAAATTGTATGAATTACGTCACTTTTAATTGAAAGAAAAGTATAGAAGTATGATTAGAACCTGGGAATAAATCAGTTATTATCCGCTTCGTGGACAATAACATATACGTACTTACCTTTAATACTTACAATACAATTATTACAACCTATTATATTATTAATATATAGTATTCATAATGATAACAATTTATTCTATTAATCTGATAACTTATAATTCTATATTTAAATTCACGAAACTAAATAATTTGAATGTATGCGTTTCTTTTAAGATATGCAAAATATACATAGTATTCTATGTACGGGCAAATATATGTTATCAGAATATGTGCCATCATGTACAACTTGCTTATATACTGTGCATTCACGCATCATTTTTAACCGTGCTATTCCGTAAAACGTACCCATGCGTACCAAATAACCCTTGCCATTTCGAACATTACTATGCCATACTCCGAAGCACTTTTTTTTATAGGGTAAAAATTTTATGGAAATATAATTTTGCTTGATTACCATTGCGATTACTTGCTAATCAGATCGAGAATGACGCATGAGAGCACCCTAAACCTCATAGGAAGACTTTTGTATAATTGGCTGTTTAAATCAATTTAATTTTAAATTATTTATAAAGTTTAAAGTACTTTTTAAAAAGAATAAAACTACAAAGAATAAACATATAGAAAGTTTTATTAGGGTTGTAGGACTGCATTATTAAAAATAATCAAAATCATTTTTGTTTTAGTGAAGTTAGAATGATAATAACCGAATTCTATCTACCTTTAAGAAGTCGCTATTATGCTAACTTCTCAAAAACTAGAAATAATTTTGATTATTTTTAATGGTTGAGTCCTGCAATCCTAATAAAATTTTTTATATTGTAATTCGGAATTCAGCGAGTCTAAACTAATCCAACTCTCGCGTAACCTACGGCGGCTAAGTCGAAGTAGGCGTGTTAGATTTGGCTGGTGGTTTATCCGTAAGTAAGTACTTGTCTCTCCTCTTTGAGTCTTTCCTTCAATCTCTTCTCGTACTAATCTAGTCTTCTCTTGTCTACCTCAACCGGGATTACTCTATGTCGAATCGGGGTTGGAACTCTTCTCTTACATTACGGTCTTGTCACGTAACTTGCGGCGAGCGGTCAATGGCGGGTTTAGTGATATATGGGCGAACGATTGTGCCAATAGTGGAGTTAACGATGTAGATTAGTTTATTATGGAACTTGTATTTTATTATGGGTCGGATATTTATTGCTATTAGAGGATTTTTTGGTATCAGGGACCGTTTTCTCTCCTAGGCAGAAATGCTCTTTATTTATAATAAACGTCTTATTTACATTTGTAATCAATTTCTGTCATAAATGCAATACAGTATATTCCTTATACTCTATATCTTAACTAAATGTAATAAAAGGCCAATATGTCATTTAACGAATATGTGGCCGAAGTTGCAGAAACGACATAAGTACCATAAGTAACATTTCCGTTACTTTTCGCGTGACCTTGGATCGGGTAAGGATCGTCACTTCGATTCGGGTACTTATGACCCCCAAAAATCGGTTAATTCTTCATAGGTTTATTTTTTTAAGAAAAGTACTTTAAACTGTATAAATAATTAATGTAAAATTAAATTGATTTAAACAGCCAATCATACGAAAGTCTTCCTATGACCCTAAACCAAACAAGTAGTTATCATTCAATGAATTAAACCTGGAGGCGGACTATCTTTTTTTTCATGGAGTTGCTGATTGGCTGAAATTTAGAACAATGATTTTTTAACATTAATCACTCAATTAATCGTAATAATTAATCACATTGAGTGAGCTACTTTAGAAACCCTTAATCAATAAATGCAGATAAAGTTAAAGCATCTAAAAGCATGATTTACGTATGCAAGATACATTGGTGATCTCTTAAATTGTCAAATAATAAACATAAAAAAATATTAATTTCAATAAAAATTTCTTTAGTATGAAGCAATATTCAAAACAAATAATAAATAAAAGCCTGAGCATATCGAAAAGAACCTTATTGAATAACTAAATGCATATAGGGTAAAGTAAAAGGACATTTAGAAGAAATAGGCTCAGATAATACTATGTTTATGACTATTAAGCACCAGTTGCAAGGTAAGAAATTATAAGTCTAGATAAAGATAATAAGTCTAAATAAAGTAATTAGTCTAGTCAAAGATTAGTAATAAGATTTCGACCATTTATGCAAATGAAAATACGTCACTAGTTACTTCAATATTGAAAATTGATTTGCCATGATCTTTTACTCTGGCAACGACGTCATCTGAGGGGCAGGTGCGCAACAATTGCATGTAGAAGTATCATTACAATTAGTAGTATTAACACATACTGCATTTGTAAGTCTTGAGCACAATAGTGTAGGTACACAAGATATGCAAAGATAGCAGGTACTGTTTATGCAGTTTCCTGTAGCAGGAACACTACTATTAAAAGAAATACCATTTAGGTAACCGTCGGAACATTGTGGATTGCAACCGGGACTGACACATGTTCCGTTCTGACAAGTTTCTCCAGCAGCACACTGCAAATGATTAAGTTAAAAAATGAAAAAAAT